AAAAAATTATATGAAATATACTTTATTGGAGGTAGGGGTTATTCCTTACAAAAATAAATACTTTAAACGTACTTACAATTATTAGAAACAGAAATGTATTGACTAGTCCGTCGAATATCCTGCTTTTTTGCAGGAAAGCAATATGAAGACACTTTTAAGACACTAGAAAAAGATCAGGTTGTTTAGCAGTGACGAACGAACAGCGAAGTGGGTGATAAGTCTAGGCAGTTATTAGCCTTTGGTGGCACAAGGGGGTTTAGAGGGGGGAAACGCCCCTGGCAACGTCTTTGAGGGCTTGAAATCTCAAAAAGACTCCCCTTTAAGAAGGGATGTCAGCAGCCCTTGGCTAATTGCGGCTTTTCTTAAGCCCTTGGGTCGCGGATAATTTAATGAATTGGAAAAATTTAAATAAGTGTAATGATCTGTTATTACTTTTGGATTGCGATTAAAGTGAAATATCATTGATGAGGGTGGCTTGAAAGTGAGTGTATTTTTATATTGCGATGTATACAGTTTATTACCTTTCAAAACTTCAAATCTGTTGTAAGCTGGATTTACAAATAAGGAATAACTTTTCTACATTTTTAATTCTATCACTAATAGAAGAAGAGTTGGAATGTTTGTATGTAATGAAATGCTCAGAACTAAAAAGAATCCACCGACTGAAAGAACTTTCCAATGGATGAACTAAAATATTTCGCAAAGTAATTTTTTGTTTAAATTGACATCATTAACACACTATAAAAAAACCGCAGCCGTAGCAAACCTGCTGCCTAAGCAAACTTTCGTTTTCTGGTTAAATGTACACTAAAATATTTCTTTAAAAATGTCATATTAATTTAGTTTCTTTAGATAAAACGAGTAAATAGGTTTTCTGCTATAAGTAAGGCATAAAGTGTATTTTGATGTTATGTATTATGTATTAGTTAAATTTAAATATATTATTATGAAATAGGAAAATGTCTAAACCGGGTTAAATTAGATCTAAAAACAAACTAACTACAACAGTTTACTTATTTTCCATTCGAATTACATTGGACTGTTTAATTTAAAGTTTTTTTTTTTCTTTAAACTTTTTCCCGTAACCATTTATTGGCCAAAAGTGCCCCAATTTACAAAATTATTTGTTTAGCTCAACAAAATAGTTTAAAAAGAAATTGGTTTGGAAAAATAAATTTTACCATGTATTTAAAATCTTATTAATCAGCGTTATTAAAAAATGTTATACTTTTTTACAGTTAGATCTATAGCACTCTAAATATCTTAAAGCTCAGATCAGGGCCATACGTTGGTTCGAAACGGAAATTTACCCATAGTAATAATGGGTTTGTAGATTTGTTTTGTTTGTATTATCATCTAATGTGGTGTTGTTGTTTTACATGATGGAACTACGTGCTGGCATCTCATTTAAACTATTACAATTTTTATTATAACTTATTCGTACCGTTTCAATACAGTTGTGGTTATTGAAATAATGATTTCATAATTATTTCCTAACTAACTCATATGATTCTTGGCCCAATGTTTAATTTAATTAAAAATGATTAAGATTCACACAAATAAAAAACTGCAACAATATTGATCAATTATTGCGATTTGATTTATTTCTTCAAAATAGTGGTGACCAGGAAAAACGAGCCCTTATAACGATCAGAAGGGACAGAGAACCTGTCTTATAGGGCTGGTATAATAAGTTTGGCATAGGGCAGGATCCCATTGATAGAAGATGAATGCCCAGACGGTCAAGAATGGACATGTCAGAGGAGGGGCGCAAACATGTGCATCTGTGAAAACATTCCAACTGGTCCATCTGGGCTGAAATTGTATTCTTTGCTATTCTATTGTAAAGTGTTTCACTGAGTTTATGAATTATGTTCTAAATAGTTATTATTCAATTTTTAATATTTATTTAGTAAAAAATCACGTTATAGGCCAACATCACAATTTCCTTATGAAGTTTATAAAACTCCCAATGGTGTGCAACTATTTCTCAGAAATGTAAAAACAAAACGTAACATGTTTCACTAAAAAGTTTAAACATTTATATTTAGGCCTAATAATTAAGGAACTGTTTGGCAAACGATGTATCTTACACAGAATATATGAGAGCAAAACTTTCTTCTTATTCTTATATTGTAGTACAAATACATCGTCTAAATTTTTTTTTATTTGAATGTTTGCGAATAATTATTTCTTTCTTTAGAAGTTATCTCTGTTGTTTTTGTTTTGTAAAAGTGCCGTGAAGTGTCAGCCAATTAAAAAAGTAAACGATTCATGTACATAAGCAAGACTAAACATAAGCTTCCATACTAAGGATTTACATCAACACAATTTGTATGTAATGTTTCAAAACTATTTCTTTAAAAATTATTTGGGAAATGTATTAGCCTATCTTTATGTCTTGTTTCTGTTCAAACACTAGGTGAAGTATTCTTATTTCTAAACGTTTGGGATCAATGAGAAAAGATTGGTCTACTTTTATATATTAAGTTATTAATATTATTGATTTATTAATGACGAAACTATAATTTTCATGAAAACTACACTAAATGTATTTACACGATTAATGTAAATATATATGTACATTGCTTATTGAAATTTGTGTTTAAAAGGCGATAATTTATTATTTGATGAAGTTTGCTAAAATAAGCCAACTTATAAATCTCATGTATTTGCATTTAATTCATTATCACTTAAAAATGTAATCCGTAGAATGATTAGTCGTGAAAAACTGTTTTTTTTTTAGTTTTAATGACTTATGGTTTTTTTTCAAGGACCTGAATTATTGAATAAATAATTATTGCCAGGAACGTAAATAATCTTCTTGAAACATGGTTAGAACAATTTAAAATTTTACAAAGACACGGACCTATGTCCGTGACTTGTGTCGTATTTTGTTTTGTCCTCTTAGCAGATGTTGTCTCTTTTATTGGTATATAAATGGGTTCATATTTGTGCTGAGCAAGAATTCCACAATTTGGGTATGAGACAGGCCGCAGGCGTTCAGTGGCTTCAAAGCTGGAATGTCAAAGGCATGTAGCCTATCCTCTTTGGTTACGGCTCTTTAAAATTTAAATTAATCATTATTTTAATTTTTATTCATCATCAGTAACCAAACAAAATAAAACCGTCTTCGAAATACATCTTTTATATAACGCATATCACTGTGAAATAAAAATGGTATAAAACTGGATTTAATTACTAGTACATTGATGATGATACAAAAAACTAAATTCGTTAGATTAAAATGAATTAAATTTGTAAAAATAAAAGCCAAAGAGCATGAGATTAATTTAAAATATGTTAGATATTTGAGAGTAAAAATGAAACCGCACTAAATTGGTTTAAAAAACAGTACATTATTAGCTTTTGGACAGTACTTTCAAAAGGTTACATTAAAATTGAATTAACTAATGTCGGTTTGATAAAAAAATCTAATAACTCGAACAGTTGTAAAACACCATTCTCGTTACTGTAAAACCCTCATAATATTTGTCTAGAGTTGAATATGAACAGCTCTAAAATGCTTTGAACGTTGAAATTGTTGATAAAAGGGATTGAATATGTTTTGGGAAAGCATCTTGTAAAAACATCTGTTTCGATAATTTTATACATGCTATTACGTTTCATAATTTTGTAGTAGAGACTTTGATAAGATTCAACCTTCCAAAATTTTCTAGCTAGATCATCTCTTGAAGATTAAAGTATTGCTATGGATGTTCTATTGTAATCCAAACGATTAAATTTTTAAATATTTACTTCACTTATAAAGTTTTCTAACTTTTAAATGTATGTGATAGCAAAACTTCTATTAACACTTCTGTTACTATTAACTGGGTGCAATTTAATAATAAAAATTAATAATGGTTTCTAATCAAGCTGGTGACACAACAAGTTTTATGATATTAGGTCCCTAGTATTTAATAGCACTAATTGCTCTGCTCGTGCTTCGCTACGGGATGAGAATGCAGAAAAGAATAACTCGGGTTTTAAAATCTTCTATAAGAAACAGTTACAACACACTAACCATGAAACAATATGCAAAGCTTAATCGTACTCATTGATTATTTAAATGCAGATTTATTAATGTATTAATCGTACTCATTGATTATTTAAATGCAGATTTATTAATGTATTACCATCACTTTACATAGTGTATTGCATTTAAATACATGCAAAAGTCTAATTCATTGACGACATGGCACCAAGAAACAAATTTAATTGAATAGCAAAACGAAGCATAACAGCTGGGTTAGTAAATTTTCTTCATAAGAAATACATTGGAATGTTGATGGCCTGTGGGGCAAAGCCCGAGGACTTTTATTACATGAATTGGAGAAAGGGGGCTTCTACACAAAAAATACTTAATTTTGACGGATCGTGTGTAAAAATCCATCCATTATTAACGGAGGAGTAGTGTTTCGTAGAAATCGCCTTCACGTATTATATATAAGGATTGTGGCTGCTTATTAATTTTTAGCAAACCATTATTTTCACTGTGATGTCCAGCACATTGAACTGACAAATAGTTTTGAGAGAACTGGGATTAGCAAATACAATTTCCAGAAATCCATTACCATTCCATTGACCAACAGTATGTTTCTAAGTAGGTTTATAATGACATAGCCATCATTTAGAGTAGCCAACTACAAAACAGACAAGCTTTTAAAACCAGCTATTTGCCGTTTGGCAAACATGAAAAGATTCAGACAATATCAAATAACGGGGTCGCCCGAACTGTTGTCCTTTTATCTAACAGAACCGCGGAAACAATATTTCACTAGCATAAACGCCTTTCTTCGGTGGTGAGGAGGTTTTAATCACTTCCGTTCTAAGACAAAGCCGCACTGTAATGAAAATTACTCGCCCTCTACCTTAGATTACGTTTTTATAAGCGAAGAGGGGTTTGTAAGAGATTGTAGACGGCCCGCAGCATCCGTGTGTGTGCGCGTGCGTGCAACCTCGCCCAGGGGTGGTTGGGGTGATGGGGTGGTGGGAGCGAGGAGCGACAGTCGTGGTGCCGCTCTCAGTCGTGTGGCAGCGCTAGTGTCCTGCTCCTGCCACTGTCATGCCAGTTGTGTCTGTGAATGTCCTTGCTGTAGTGTCCTGGACTGTGTAATATCCCTCCGCGATAAGGAACGTCTAAGTGTAAGGCTTCGCACACCTGTGTCTAGTGTTAAGTGTACCAACGTGTTACAACCCTAGTGATAACCGCCCGAGTTAGATCATGCGATTATTCAAATTCGTGATAAGCATCGATATCTGTGTTGTATATCGATCTAGATTACTTCAAGTATGATATTTCGGATATCCGAAAGTGTTTAACCTTTTTAAGCTATAAATATCGATAGCTCACGCAATAACATTAATTCGTGATAATCATCAATATCTGTTTTGTATAGCTAGATCATCCTAAGTATGATAGTTCGGATTTCCGAAAGTGTTTACGTTATGTATCGTAGTATTAACCACCCAAGTTAGCTCACGCGATCGTTCAAATCCGTGATAACCAACTATATCCCTTTGCCATGTCTATAGATCAATTGTATAAGTATGATAGTTCGGATATTCGAAGGTGTTTGTTTGATCAACCACGCTCACGCACTCTAACTGGTGTTCCATTGGTAATGACCATTGATATATCCTGTTTATCGATCGATTTTATCCTAAGTACATAATAGTTCGGGTGTACGAAGGTGTTTGTTTGATCGATCAACGCTTCTTAGTCTCCTTTCCTATAACAAGATTCCCTGTCTCCTTATAGAAACATGTTATCATATTTCGTGTCCTATTACCAACAGTAACAAGGGTGTGTTTTCTTTGACGACATAAATTGGCTGTTACCCTTTACTAGTGGCGGTGTTTGGCGGAAACAAAAGACATAACATTGGTATAATTTGATATTGAGTAGGAAGTAAAATATATGTGATCTTTTTATTTTATAAAAATACATGCATCAATGTATGTATAGGATTCTTAATTTACATATCATTTAGTGTTTGATAAATATGATTACTTTAAATATATTATTTACAATTTTAAAATGTTTATTCTGCGTGAACGTTTTTGTACAAAATAATTCTGTGAGATTTAAAGTTCCTGTGATTTTAGTTAGAAACCAAACTAAACCTTATTCATTTATTGTTTAGTATATGACATAATATATTTTTGCCATTACTTTAAAATTTCCTCTACGTACTGTATGCTTTCCATTTAGGGGAATAGAATTAATTCTCGTAACGTATTTTTAGTATAGTACTTATTTACGGTATAACATGATTTAATACAGAATAATTTAAAACTTGCCATCACGTGACCGGTACAGGAATAGTATTACACTTTTACAAAATAAGTTTTTTAATGTCTCAAACTTATATAGCGTGGATATGTAATTTCTAACGTCAAAACTAAGTTCACTTGGTCCCAAATTCCTGTATAATCAATTATTAAAATTACGTCATGTTAATCTAAAAAAAGTTAAGTTCTTCCACCAATGTTTTACAATACTTATTGTTGGCTGTTTATTCATCTTATGTAATAGTTCTCTTAGGCCTACGTTAAACTTCCTGGGAATAGATTCCACCACATATTTTAACTTTCCTTAGGTCATATAAAGTGGGTTTCACGTTTGAGTTAATTTTGTGATTTCCGATTAGTTAAAATATAAATACTAACTATTAACTTGGGTTGAATACTCAGTTGCTGTCCGACGTAAATTGATCTATGGAATAAATTTATGGCCTAACTGTATGTATTTAAACAGTTAGGCCATGTTAATCGCGTATTGAAATTTACCCATGTACATATCGTATATGGGGTCTTGCTAATACCATATTGTTTCATTTTTTACAAAGGCCTACGTTCTACATATGTTTTAATAATCACTGCTTCAGGTTCTAGACAGAAATTAGTTTTTTTTTTAACGCAAATGGTACTTTGTTGTAGAAAACACTGAAGTAAATCGATCCACCTCCTTTTTGGAGGTGCTTGCGACTAGCCCGTGTCGTGCCGAAGTCTGAGACGCTCATCAATAGGGTACAACTCACTTTTTAAGGGTAAAATATTGATAAATGAACCAAACCCGTTTTTCCAACGACCCTAAGATCACTTTAGCCCTTGGTGTGTGAAGCCTTACTATCTACCAACCCCAGGTGTGCCATGCGAGGCTCCAGTGCGCGCCGACCCTCCGCTTCCAGTGACTGCGATCGCGAGTCTGTGTGTTTGTGAGAACTGGCGAGCCTCAGGGTATCCTCCATGTACCAGCACCAACCCCAGAACATGTATGATCACCATACCCAATACGGCACCCACGGTCATAACCACGGCCACCATGGGAGCCATGACTACAACCAGCCCGAGGAACAATACACCCCTCCCCTGCCTAGGCGCAACCAAAGGTATGTGTTTGTGTGTGTGTGTGTGTGTTCGTGTTTGTTACGGTACTGTGTAGTATCCAAGTACTTCTGAGTACAGTACTTTTGAGTACCATCTGAGTATCCTGCACTGAGTTATAGCAATAGGAGGTAGCCGGTTCGATTCCAATAAAGGTTGTGGGTTGACTGGACCCAGCTACCCTTGATAAACGGTTCTGAAAGGTAAAACTGCTGATATTAATTATGGAATAGTCTTATTTTTCTATTTAAATACGCATAATTTATTTCTGCCTAAAATTAGTGATAATTAATCATACACTTAGAATACCAATTTAATTCATTAAACTTAGGTGTTTATTAAATAGTTTTAACAAATTATTAATTTAGCTTAGTACCTAATGGAAAAATGGGTTTATATTGTTTTTAGAACGGAAGTATAACCAAAATAACCAATAGGTTTAACCAATGTAACCACCTTGTCTCTGAGTGAGTTATACATTTTCACTAATAATTGTAAAGTTGCTCATTCACAGACATAATAATTTAAAAAGAAAACAACCAAAACAAGGAAATACTTTAAAAAAAATACCACTAGAATTTGTACCAATAAATTAGTCAATTCGAAATGCCTCAGAGCCTATAGTTTTTAAAAACGGCTCAAAGATGGTATATTTTGATAAAATTACTTAATTACCTTTCTTGTGTCTTCACACAACCTGTGATTAAGATATGTATACTTTTAAAGTCATCTGCCGATGGACTGTGAAGAGATTTGGTGGTAGCATGAAGAAACCAAGGCAGCGATGTCCCGATGGCACCACATAAAATTCAGTACAGTCATATATACTTACATACATATTTCGTAACATATTTCATCTAGTCCATAGCCTCTAGTATACTAGAGACGGTTATGGTAAAGTTCATTCCTGTACTTAACTGACTCGTCGAATGTAATTATGTAAGCCACTACATTTACCTTACTTGATACGGTCCAAGCACAGTTCTGGGACCCTCCATGTGGACGGCCAATGCAAGAAAGGGCCACCAACATCTGAAAAGTAAAAAAGAGATGATTTTCAAGTGAAGCAGCTAACCCAACTTTTCACCCACGCTTCTTTGCCAACAATCTTTGTGTTTGCTGCAAAATCAAAATTAGGATCGGGGATAACAACTTTTTGACAACTCCCAGACATAATTTTGCTGATAACACAAGAGCAACAAGGGGGTCCTCAACAGGGCCAGATTTGTTAGTCTACCCTAACTATACTCCTTTCAAACAGCCGTGGCACCTGAGGGATTAGGAGGCCCCAAAGGTTTCCATGGGGTCTCCTAATCCGTCAGGTGCCACGGCTGTTTGAACGGAGTATATATGACGTTTAAACGTCCGTCTCACGCCCCCACAACGCCGCTAAAACAAAGGTCGCGCCTAATTCCTAGACGCGCCGTAAACGCGGCCAATGATTTATGTTTATGGGAAGGTTGAACACGTCTCGCTTCCGGAGTGTTTAAAAACCGGGTCAGAGTGCAGGCGATAACTCTTCAACTGGGGTTGATTGTGATGATTTAAGACACCCTCGTTTCACTCTGGTTTAAATTATGGATTAAATCTGAATATGATAAATAGCTGAGTGGTTTGTTTTTACGGAGCAATTGGTTTAGTTGAGTAGTTAGTTGTGAGTTTTTTTTTAGAAAATTTGTGATGATAAATTCAGTTTTTACAATTTTTTACAACTTTTAGCTTGGAATGGAAGTTTAATTGATTGCATACTTCCGTCATAAATCCTTTTTTTGTTCATAGATGTCGATTTAGGCTTTAACATTCTAAATCGGAAAAAAACTTAACTTGATGTTGTTTTTTACAATAATAACTAGTACAACATATTATCTATGATTTAAGTACTATTTTCTACGTTTGTGCTTTACACATTAAGCCGCTTTATAATGGTTTAAGTGTCAATTTTGAAATACTGTGTAAATACTGGAGGCACGGACTTAATGCCGCTAAAAACTGATGATTTTTGGGAGGACTATGTGATTTTACTCTTGTCAGGCTTTTTGAGCCACCTTTAGAATAAAAACAGGATGGACTTCTTAAGATCAGAATCCTTCGATTGTATTGTCCTCCACTGAAAAAGCCAAATTAATTTGTATGACAACCTTTTTTTCATTTATGTAGATTTTGGTTCTAAAAATCATCGTTACAACTCATTCTATCATCTTAAATAAAAAATTAAGCACGATTTTCTATGTTTTTTAAGTTTATTCGAACTAGGTTCACACCAAGGTTTGTCATCACTTCTTGCCCTAGCGTCGCCCCATCGTGTTTACTCCAAGGCACTTTACGTAATGTTTGCGTCGACCGTGTATAAGCAAAAAAGCTTTCAATCCACTTAATCCAATTGGTAAACTATTTATAGTTGTTTGTTGGATATATAAACCATTCAAAGCATTTATGGTTTTTTCGTTTTTCAAGTATATTAAGATATAGTTAAAAGTTTTAAAATATTAAAAGTTATAGTTAAGTATGAAATTGATAATTTTTTGGTGATTGTGTTATACAATACTTTAAAATCTACAAAATTGAATATTTTCGTAACACGATTTATGTTTTTCCGAGATTTGAATTAATGTGTTGTCATGGAGCTAATACATTTTTTTCAATATATTTGTAGAAAATTATGATTTCTAATTTTGGTTTGTGAAACGTTAATCAAATTTTCACCAACTTTTTGTGTTAATAATAATTTGTAAATGATTGTGTTTTCTACGCAGTTTTTTTTTTTTTTTTGCAAATGACCAGATCAAACTTCGTTCTCATTAATAGAATTGACAATACCTTGTGTATAATCGACATGCAAAAACATGTAATAACGACTTGTAACTGTTGACGATATTTTGTATATTATTTTACCAATAACTATGTGTGTAAACCATCAAGTATGTAAAACACTGTCAATGTCCAAGAAGACTTGTATACCAACGATTGACTATATAACACTAGTGTTTTATATAGTCAATGGTACCAACTGTTCAAGGTATTCACCACGGAAAAACACACCGCAAATAAATGATCAACTTATAAGCTGAGAACGTAATATATCTGCGAACTGAGACACAGTATTGCCAACTTATAAGTTGGCAACGTTATATATTCTGCCATCTGAGCCAGTGTGGCCAACTTTGCCGATCATCGTCTGATTGGTCCAGGGTGGTAAACCCTGTACGTGAGAACGCAAACCAACGCCACATCATCCCCAATCCCCATCTGTGGTTTTAAATTATATGTTTGTTTTTTTTTTCTCCATGCAGTCATGATATAATTGGGTTCATATTTCAAACATTGTTTCTTGAATGTTGCTTTATTTAAAATTTCTATTTTCAATTTTTTTCAAGATCTGAAAATAAATAATACTTTTAAAAATAAGGTTTTAAGAGATGGTAAAGATTTTCTAATTTATTTTACGTATTTATGGTGGGGTTTGTAAAATATATTGGTTATTTTGGTTTAATAATGCATTTCAATTCTAATTACAATACAATTTAACCCGGTCGTGTTTTGTTGTCAAAGTGCATTATTTTCAATTTTTTTCAAGTCTGATTAATTTTTCAATCCAACAAACAGGCCTCATTAGTAAAGCACTATTCCAAAGTTAACAAGATTCGTTCAGATAAAAGTCACCTCCATTTGTATTATGTGAACGCTGTGCAAGGTACTAAAGCTGCCTTACCTTAGATTTATGGAATGGCATAAAACTTTATTCCATAAATTTTTACTGAATGGGACTTTAAGATAGGAAGACCCCGGAGTATAAATTTTATTGCTCTGTACGGGTAATGTATTGATTGTATTGAAGGTTTAGTATCTTATTTAAATATCCCTTAAAAAGCCGTAAATGTGTTATTTAGGAATATTATTTTAATATAAAGTAATAGATAAAGTAGTTTTATTGGAAATAAGACATACGGTAAAACATCATCTGTTGTAATTTATCATTATAATAGGAAATATCGTTTTAAGGAAAAAGCAGGTATTAAGAAAATCTGGTTAGGTCAGTTTTGAAACGTACAAATTGTAAAGATTTTTCTGGCATTATTCATTTACAAATCAGTTATAAATTGAGATGAGAACACCTAGGTGCGTATTTTAACCCAACTATGTGTGAAGGATAAGTGAAAAAATTAACTATTAGTTTCTGTATAAGTTATTATTATTATATAATCATTAAATATAATAATAATACAGCATAATCTTAAAATCGATACATAAAAACAGTTAGAATTAAAATATTAATTGTATTTGCTGATAGGCCCATTGATCTGAAAGTAAATTGCCAATGATCTTGATGACTACAAGAAAATCATAGCTAGAGAGTTTTTTTTTTATTGCTTTAAGTTGCTATAGTCTTAATTTGTTGAAGGCCCTTGTTCACAATCATCTAGTCACTCATACCATTGCCACGTTATTACCCATGCTCGAACAAGATTAGCATTTTTAATATTCAGACCTCGTTTCAAACCCGGGACATTAAAATACAATGGAACATTGAACACGCACTCATAATACAAAACGTAGTTTCTGTGTTAGAATCTGTAAGCAAGGCGAGAATTAGTCCAAACATTTAAATGGTTTATATTTTCGTATCTTTCACTGTTGTTCTTGAACCATACATATTTCAACCAATAACCGTTTGGGTTAACTTTCCTGTCACTGTGATCCTTTTTGTTCAAATTTTAACAACTTGCCATCCGTTAGTGCCGTTTGTATAATTTTGCGTTTGATTAAACAATATAAAACTATACCTTTTTCGTGTATATAATTTTTCTTATCTACAACGTTCACGTCGATATGTAAGTAGCTTGAAAGCCTTTGGACTAAAAACTGTACCTTAATAAACTGCTCACAAAGCCACAATTGCCATTTTAAGTATCCATACACAGGATTGTAGGTAACAATTAATTATTGCTCTGATGGTAACAGATTGAGTTTAAACCATTATTTACGGATTCTGACGAACCAGAGGTTA